CTTCAGATTGGGACTCAACATCTAATTCTAATTATAATTTGGTACAGTCAAAGTCTGGGAGACGTCAAGATGTTTCTACATATCCATATCACAGAGGATATTTGTGGGCCACAGAGATTGGATATTCTAAATTACATGCTGACGTAGCAGCAGGAGGGTTTCAAGGTTTGATCTTGTTGTCTGGAAAAAAACTTACACTGCACTTGATGCAATGTTCTCATACGTGAGAGACTTCCCAGACCAAAACTCTGTCAGCACTTTGACATACAAGTGCTACATTAAGATAGTCGGTTCCACGCACTTAAATAAAATAAGCACAACAACAGGACATACAAGTTCACTCGCTCATGGCAAAAGACAATTACTCTTTTCCAAGCAAAATATAGCTTCTTTATTTATGTAGGTACTCTGAAGGTCAGTCTCACTGGCCAAATATCTGGACAACTGAGTTTTAATGCATTCATTGGACGTTTGGATAATGATGTTAACATGAAGGCATCAGCTAAGCTTGAGACAGGACCTACTCTAACTGTTAAAGGAGAGGCTACTGCTAGAGTATTGGTGAGAGTCAAAATATGAGATAAGAGTGAAAAGGAAGCTGGGGTGTCAGAGATATTTATTATTTCATTTTTTTTCTAATAGGTCAAATACAAATTAGGTATTGTAGTCTCAGCCTCCATATCCTATACCATAAATCCAGAAGCATCAACTTCAATCTGTGGCTCATCATCACAGGCTAATGCATGCTTTGAAGTATATGGTACAACTAAAGGAAATATCAATGTTTATGCATACCGGCAGTCTAGGAAAATCCGGTGTAAACGGTTTAAGTGCAAGGTGATATTAACAGCAATAATAATTATTAATAGCTTAATTATTATTATTTTTTTCTTTCTCTCTCATTCATTCACTCTTGTCACAAATATTTATACAGAAGTCTTGGGGAAGAAAGAAGAAATATAGTAAACTATCACGTACTTGGAGCCTAGCAAATAGAAAAGATAAATTGTTTGGTCTGTGTTATGCTTGTAATTGTACTGGAAGCCACCCCCTCAATGTCCTTTGCAAGGGTAGCAGGTATGGAGCCTCACGATGTTCCTGTTCAACAAGGAGTTCAAAATGATATTCTTCAATCATCATTGAAAGCTGATGTGATCATTTTTAATGGACTCCTCTTTTTTGTAGTTGAGTTTAAGCTTTTTATTAGTGTAGCATAGTTATAAACATTTTCATTTTTTGTAAACAATGAATCACAAAGATATCCAAGTAAATCACCAGCCATTATACATACACACTGCAGTGACTGCACAAAGACCCTGCATGCATAAAAAATGGCTGAAAGAATTTTCCATAGGAATTTAATGGTCAATTTTGTTGTGTCTATACACACATGTATCTTTACTACATTTTTTGAATTTACTTTTGTTGGGAAATAGCATCATCTCTAGAGTTTGGTAAAGGATGGATTATTAATAAAGCAAGATAATGAGAGAGAGAGTGTCGGTGCATGTTCATACATGTACAAATTATAAGTCTTAGTGAAGTAAAGTATATAGAAAGATAATCCTACCCTACTGTACTTGTACATTAGTAATTTGATGGTTGATGCATATTTTAGCAAAACATCATTTATATGGATGCAGGACAGCATTATTCATCCTGCTTGATGTGTTAGTTTG